ATATCTGCGCTTATTCTTGTGTGTCTTCTTGTTTAGGTTACGTTACTATGTGTGTGTGTGTGTGTGTGTGTGTGTGTGTGTGTGTGGGAGTGTGTGTGTGGGTGGGTGGGTGTGTGTGTGTGTTGTGTGTGTGTGTCTGAGTTTTCTAGGGTTTAAGATATATAAGGCCTAGTCCCGTTCTATAATTTATGGGTGTAGGCTATATGATAACTGGTATCGCAGCTGTTGCATATGAGACTGTGCTTATGTTGGATTAATTCCACTTTTCTAGGGTTTTAAATACCTACATTCGAGTGCACACGTGTGACTTTCATCAATCACTGCTCATCTTCTAGATGAAGGGCCTTATCCATCGTTGTGTGTGTGTGTTTATGCTGTGTACTTGAAGTGACGTATATGTCTCTCTGAGTGGTCTTATCAATCGTTGTGTGTGTGTTATATCTGTGTACTTGAAGTGACGGATATGTCTCTCTGAATAGTATTATCCATCGTTGTGTGTGTGTGTGTGTTATATCTGTGTACATGAGGTGATGTAGATGCCTCTGTGAGCTTTCCCTTTGCCCCTGTTCCTTAGCTTCCCTCGACTGGTTGTGGGTGTTCGCAGGTGTGCTTGCTCTTGGATGGCAGGCACGTGTCCTTGCACCAGAAAAAGAGGTACACAGGACTACGTGCCGTGTTTGTACTGTAGTAGTAGTAACCACTTATACGCACATGTGTGACTATACCAGGAGGTGGTATCTCTATTTTAATTTTGAAAAGGTCAACTATGACATATAAGTATAACGTATAGATGGTTAGTATGGTGTGCAGAGCTTCTAGTATTGCCTTGAATGTTTCTTCTGAGTGCTTGGAGATTTAATATTGAACATCCAGCTGGTCTTGGGGTGGGTGCTTCTGGGCTATAGTTTAGAGGGACACACATACACATCACATACACATCACATACACACCATGCTATCTCAATTACAACCTGTGACTTCTGAGTGCGTATGTCATCAGATGGTGAGTAAGCATGAGCTGCGCGGTGAAACTACCATGGAGGGCTGTGAACACGTGTGTGCGTATGTGGTCATGTACGTAGACGTGAGTGTATATGTGGCTACACGTGTGTGTGTATGTGGTCATGTACGTAGACGTGTGTGTGTATGTGGTCATGTACGTAGACGTGTGTGTACGTAGACGTGTGTATGTATGTGGTCATGTACGTAGACGTGTGTGTTCGTAGACGTGTGTATGTATGTGCTCATGTACGTAGACGCGTGTGTGTGTGTGGTTACACGTGTGCATGTATGTGCTCATGTACGTAGACGTTTGTGTACGTAGACGTGTGTGTGTGTGATTACGCGTGTGTATGTATGTGGTCATGTACGTAGACGTGTGTGTACGTAGACGTGTGTATGTACGTGGTCATGTACGTAGACGTGTGTGTGTGTGTGGTTACACGTGTGTATGTATGTGGTCATGTACGTAGACGTGTGTATGTATGTGGTCATGTACGTAGACGTGTGTATGTATGTGGTCATGTACGTAGACGTGTGTGTTTATGTGGTCATATACGTAGACGTGTGTGTGTATGTGGTCGTGTACGTAGACGCCTGTGTACGTAGACGTGTGTGTATGAGTATCTGTTGCTGTAGTTGCCTGTGAGTCGGTTGTTCTGTAGGTAAGTCTGATCCAGTGCTCTCTACTAGTGCGCGACTGAGTACCTTTTCATTCGTATACAAGTATAAGACCACTCCACTAGCGGGAAGGTGGAAAATTACTGCCACGGGTATGCTTCTCTGTCTCATAGATGAGTCACTCAACCTGTTATCCGCAATCCTTATTCCGGGATACACTATTCCGGGATGTATTATTTCGGCATACAGGTGAGCGTGGAGTGACCCTTTCTGGCGGTCAAAAGGCTCGAGTGAGTTTAGCGCGCGCGGTTTACTCTGATGCCGATATCATTCTCATGGACGATCCACTGTCAGCCCTGGACGTACATACCGGTTCACAGGTCATTATATACATGTGTATGTGTATACATGTATATATATATGTGTGTGTCTGTGTCTGTGTCTGTGTCTGTGTCTGTGTCTGTGTCTGTGTCTGTATGTGTGTGTGTGTGTGTGTATGTATGTATGTATGTATGTATATGTATATATGTATGTATATATATATATGTGTGTGTATGCATGTATGTATGTATGTATGTTAGTATGTATGTATGTATGTATATATATATATGTGTGTGTGTGTGTGTGTGTGTGTGTGTTGTATGTGTGTATATGTGTGTATGTGTGTGTTTGTGGGTGGGTGTGTATCTGTGTATTTGTGTATGTCTATTTCTGTGTCTTTGTCTGTGTCTGTATGTATTTACGTGCGTGTGTGTTTACGTATATATATATATATGTGTGTGTGTGTGTGTGTGTGTGTGTGTGTGAATATATATGTGTGTGTGTGTGTGTACATATATATATACATATATATATATAGTGTTGGATCTCCCTAATACTCCCTGTTCGTTGCCTTACATCTCCATGCGACTTTAGTCTCTCACATACCTGCCATATATACCTACGGGTAGGTATTAGTACCATGAGTCCTAATCTCATACCTGTGTCTGCTTATCCACAGGTGTTTGAGCGAGTCATTGGTAGCCAGGGTATACTAGCAGCCAGTGTGCGTATTCTCGTCACACATGCGGTGAGTTGCAATTGCTCTCAGATAACACGCACCGTTTGGCTTGGTTCCCTTCAGTTCGTTTATTGAGAATTTTTTTGTGTCAAAGATAAGATACCCACAAATCCGATTCAAGATTCCCGATGTTTAAGAACTTGTTTTGGATTCAAATATTGATTCAGATCCAGTTTTTGTCGCAGTGCGACAAAGTGGTGATAATCGACTTGGGCGAGATTGTATACAGCGGCTCGTACGCAACTCTGCTTAAGGTGACTGAACATTTTATCCCATTTATATGTATGGATATATATATATATATATGTGTGTGTGGTGTGTGTATATATATATATATATATACATATATATATATATATATATATATGTTATATATATATATATATATATATATATAT